TTCTATATTATCAGCAACTAGATTTGTCAAAACCTGAGAATTCTTCAGAGCACTACTATCAATTAACTATATCAGATGAGTTCTGGTTATGAAATAGTCGAAAATTTGAACAGTACTATTTTGGAATTGATGGTAAATACAACCTTAATATTGATCGTACTCCTGTGCTGACAATGGTTGTCAAAAATAGTAGTGGACATGGGACTCTATTGGCTTTTGGTATGTCAATATATATGTTTTCTCTAATTTATAAGTATTAACTATTGATTACTGATGTTTATTTTAAATATAATTAGGTTTAAGTAACAAGGAAAATAATTGGATGATACGCTTAGCTATAACAGCTGTTAAAAAAAATATACCATGTACTGATCCTACATGTAAACATTCATGGCATTATGAAGATCTTCTAAGTAAAAAGGGGGTTTCAGAGAATTCGTGATTGTACAACTAATTCACAATAGAATTCGATTGCAATAATAGATAAATATAGGATGACTAAATTGGGTATAGAAGGCATTGTTCATGGAACTATACTTTGTTGGTTTTACATTATGCAAACGTTTGGAGAAAACTTAAAACAGTAGAATATTCCACATTCACTTAGGTTAGTTTTATAAGTTTCATTGTAATGTATTGTATAAATATGTTTAAATTTTTAACATAAATATTTATATTTTTTTAAGGTACCAAATTGCATTGGGGTTCAAATTTGTGGGCCATTGCCATACTGAGGAAGACGCATTTGAAATAGCTTCTTATTACAAGAATTTAACAATTCTTTTTTGCTTTCTTAAGATCAAAAGTCATCACTTATTAAAAATCTGGATAACAATTGGATGTGTAATGAATAGTGGATGCAATTTATTAATGCCGGTCATCTTTCTAACAATTTTAATTTACAAAATCCAATGACTACCAACAATTATACTGAAAGAATGAATCGTTCAATTGAATCACATTTAACTGAGAAGCAAACGGTTGTTACATTTATTAAACAACTTTATGAAATAAAGTTGTTATATGAAAATCTTCATTCCGAAGAAACAAATAAAAATGTTTATGAAGCTGGATTAATCACACTTTTTAATGCATAATCAATTGAGCAGGTAAATAAATAAATAACTACTTATCTTTCAAGTTATTATAATAGTTATTAATGTAAGTTTAATTATAGCAATATGAATCTATTAAAATAACACCTTCTATAAATCGACGTTTGAATCATGAAAGGCTTTATTTTCTTATAGGTTTAGTCAAATCATCTGGCCATCCAAATTACTATTACATTAAAAAGCCAAATGAATCAAATACAATAGTCAATTCTTTTGAGGATGATGAATTTATTGAATTGAAGGATTATCTTGATTATTTTCAGCTGATGATCAAACAATTAGCTAAAAACTGTGTAGTCAAACTTCGAGATAGTTTTTATGTTGTCAATATGTTAGAGGTGAATGTCCATTATGCTTAGATTATGTGTAGAATGGTCCGTTTTATGATGATTGTAAACATTGTCATGCTGCACAAATCTTTTTACAAGAGAATCATCCTAATATTATACAAGAGACCAAAGAAAAATTAGTAAATTATTTTAAAAATAAAGAAAGAATTATTCCAGCGGATCAAAAAAATAATTTGATTTATTATAGTTCTACGGAAGATGCATATCAAGAAATTATTCGTTTATTTAATTCTGAAGGTATAATATTTTGTTATTATGATATTACAAATATTATAAATTGAAATTAATTTGTCTTTACTACTATTTTAGAAGCATGTATCTTTTATCTAAAAGGTAGTGCAAGCATTTCTAATAATCCATTTCGACCAGTGGAGTTAAGCCAGCAATCAATCAATAATGGAGTGCCTTCAAAATTATTGGCAAAACCACGTAAACTTGGCCGCATATTACATATAGTTTCTGATAATATAGAATATATCTTTTTAACTTTAAATCCTCCTCAATTAGATAGTGATGTATTGTCTATAGACCTGTATTATCCTTTAAACGTCTATCTTTATGAGTAATAAACCATTTTAATTTTGTATTGCTGCAAATTTCATGACTATTTGACAATGCATTGTTCAGTTCTTCTTCAATAGCACTATTTAATGAAGCCAATAACTTTTCTTTGATTTCATTAGCTGTTCGATAATCTGTGTGACAACTAATTATAATATTATCACGAACTTTATGTATCAAATTTATTCTTGAAATTTTTGGAACAACAGCATTTATTATTTTAGAGAGAAGGTGTGTACTTTCTATTTTAATTCTAAGTGGATGACTTGAAGTAAAATAAGATAATTGTGAAAATGAATAAACATATACAGAACAACAGTGCATATTATTTCCATTTCTCAAATTGTTATATAGACTATAGTTTGAACAACTAGATAAACATTTTTCAATCCCACTACACTTATGTTGACAATTATTTCTATTACCAGAACAAAACATAATCCACGACTAATATAATTTGTCTTTTTTAATTCTATTTTGAATTTCATTTACATATTCATGCCCTTTGGTCGTAAGCTTTATAACATCATCAATATGGTTAGTTGATTTTTTTGTTCCAGCAGCTTCCTATTTAATAAAATCGACCAATCCCTCAACTTGACAAAGTGAAATTAAACCTTGGTTTATTAGCTGTGGTGTTTGCAAACAGTAGTTTCCTGTCGAATTCTTGTGATATTAAATGATTTAATTTTTATTCTTTTGTCCTTGAAAAATTTAGGCACAT